TACAATATAGTTAACCCAAACATAAATGATATAATGAAAAAATAATTTTGAAAAAGTGGTATTTTTGCAAAGATTTTAAAAATATGGCATTTTTGAAAAGTGGCACTTGAAAAGTGGTATTTCTTAAAATTTCTCAATGATATAATGAAAAAATAATTTTGAAAAAAGTGACATTTTTTCAAAGATTTTGAAAATGTAACATTTTTGAAAAGTAGCACTTGAAAAGTGGTATTTCTTAAAATTTTTCTTGATAATAGCACCTCACTTCCTGTTTGTTTTGGAATCTTTTTGCTACTTGCTCTGTAATTAATTGAATATTTGTCCACAGCATGTGGCAATACCCTTTTCAAACAAGCTGAAGATGCAACAAAAACTGGCAACGTGGTGGAAAAACTCTCATAATCAGGTTAGTAACAATTTTTACTTAGAGATTCATTTTTCTTCCAATTTTCCAGGTGCATTTCGGAGATATGATTAAGCTACGTGAAAAAAGCATGGTCTATGTCAGTAATTTTTTTCAGAACCACTCCCTCTTCTCAAAGGTAGGAGAGTGTTGCGTGTCTTATCTTTCTCTACAACACAGTATTTCATTAAATAACCACAGCATTCTTTGACATGTTGGCTAAGTTCAAAATTCAATTTGGTGAAGATTGGACCATTGACATGGATTGCATGGTTAGTTAGATAATGTTTATTTTTTTTCTTCCTGGAAAGAGGGTTGTTTGGTGGTTATTAAACTCCAAATTCACCATTAGGTCATCAGGAACAATTAAGGTATATATATGAGCATTGTTAATAGTGATGACATGACTAGTTTTTGTGTTTTTCTATATTGTTATGAATATTGGGAAACAAAGCATATCCCTTTTCAAACAACGGGTCAGGTCGAGAATGAAATTGAGAAAGTGGTTAAAGATAGAACATCACACACAAAAGTCAAATTGAAGCAACTCTTGCACGGATTATGAACAACAAAAAGGTCTTGCGATTTGATCAGTTGGCACACTTTACATTTTGCAATTTTCTCCTCGCCGTAACACCATTACTCGTTAGGTATATGTCGATGTTGGTGGCCTCGAGCGTAAAAGACCCTAGATGGACGTCGACATCTCGACAGTATGGTGAGTAATCTCTTCTCTTCTTTATTCATTGGGTACTGAGAAAAAAGAAACATAAAGAGATCAATGGTTTTCTTTTTCTATGAACAGTACGATGTTGACGGAGAAGATCTATCGTGAGAATGCCTTACTTAAACACATGGCGGATGATGGCATGGCGAATGAACCAATTCAACAACCTGCTGCTGCAGTGATCCTCAATGATCATGAACGACTGAAGGAAGTTGGCGTGAAATGCTTCCGCGACATTGTTTATGACAAGGTTCAATCCAAGGCCAATGCTGCTGTAGTAGTACTTGTAAGTATCGCATCTCTCTGGTTATTGCTTGGTTCAAGTTCTATATGCGATCTCTGGTTATTGCTTGGTTCAAATTTCTATCTAATACAATGTGTATTGCCAGATTAATGAAGATCGCCACGGCATAGAGATTAACAGGCTACTACTGAAAAATGTGTTAAACATATGTCGTGAGATTGGGATGGGAAAGCTGGAAGCATATGTAAAGGATTTTGAAAGCTTGATGCTTCAAGATACCATAGAGTACTGTTCTCGCACTATGTCAACCTGGAACCAGGAGGGATTTTTCCTTGGTTACATACCACAGTCTGAAAAGTTTCTAAAAGCGGAGGAAGAAAGAGCCAAAGAGCTCCTCCCTGGGAGCTCTGTGGGCAAATTAGTTGCGGTTAGTTATATTTCTACTACAAGTGAAATTTTCACCTTTGAACTTAGAGATATGCTTATGTCCTGACAGTAGTTTGAACGGGTTAGTTATTGGCTTACTTGTTTATTTCTGGATGCAGAAACTAGAAAATGAATTGTTTGTAGTGTTAGCAAATCAGCTTCTACAAGATGAGCTCAAAGGGTGCCGTGCATGGCTGAGAAATGATGAGGTAGGCCAGCTTTTGTGTGTTTTTATATTCCTTAATGTATATTATCCTTAATTCTTTCTTTGACAAAGCATTGCTATATATACTTTTAGGTGAATAACCTGTCCAGAATATACGAGCTTTATCATACAAAAGGATGTACGGAAGGGTTAGAAAATGTTGCAAACATATTCATACAGGTGTTAATTTTATATCCTTTCATATTTTAACAGCTGATTGATACTAGTACCTTGTTTGTTTGGGAATCTCTTTGCAACTTGCCTTTTAATTAACTGAATATATGTGCACAGCATGTTACTGCAGAGGGAAATACCCTTTTCAAGCAAGCTGAAGATGCAGCAAAAGCTGGCAACGTGCAGGAACTGGTAGCTATACCAACCTGATTATGGGAGTTTTTTTAGTTTAGAGATTCACGTTATGATTAATAACCACAGTACCATCACATTCACTTTTTATTTCATTGCTTTCAGGTTCTTATCAGAAAAGTGATTGAGCTACATGATAAACACATGGTCTATGTCACTGAGTGTTTCCAAAACCACACCCTCTTCCACAAGGTTTATGTGCTTTCTGTGTACTTCTCATGCGTCTATCTTATTCATGCATATATTTTTTTTATTAACTAAAGTCTCTTGAAACCTATTTCAGGCTTTGAAAGAGGCTTTTGAGATTTTCTGTAACAAAACGGTCGCTGGAAGTTCAAGTGCCGAATTACTTGCAACATTTTGCGGCAATATTCTCAAGAAGGGGGAAAGTGAGAAAGCTGAGTGATGAAGCTATTGAAGATACGCTTGAGAAGGTACATCTTTTCGTGAAATTGCGTGCTTAATTCATTTTTCAATTCCTCCTGATGTTGGTACTGAATTCTGTTATGTTGTTACAGGTGGTCAAATTGCTTGCGTACATAAGTAACAAGGATCTTTTTGCTGAGTTCTACAGGTTGATATCTCCTACTCTAAATCTTTCTTATCCATGGATCCAGCTTTTCTTCTATTAGCTGTTTATTCTTTGAATGTTTTGTTTATACTAGCACGTTGTTAAGATCCCTTCCATTAATATGGTACCGAAATGACAAGTTGTTTTGGTTATGGCTTTTTGTAGAAAGAAGATGGCCCGTAGGCTCTTATTTGATCGCAGTGCTAATGATTATCATGAGAGAAGTATCCTTACAAAGCTCAAGCAACAATGTGGTTGGCTGTTTACTTCCAAGATGGAGGGCATGGTTAGTTAGAGTGTCCCTATTTTTATTATCTGAAGTGGTGGTTGCTCTGATGATTTATGCTTTCTATATATATTTAATCTGGTGTTGGTCACAGGTAACGGATTTGACATTGGCAAGAGAAAACCAAAACAACTTTGAGGAGTATCTATCCAATAACCCCGCTGCAAACCCAGGGATTGATTTGACCGTCACTGTTCTTACTACGGTTTTTTGGCCAAGTTACAAATCATTCGACATCAATCTACCCAGTGAAATGGTAACTTTCTGTTGGATTTATGTATACCTTAAAAGTTAAAAGTGAAAAGGTTTGCTCCAGATAAATCTAATCCATCAGTTTCTTTGTTTCAGGTCAAGTGTGTTGAAGTTTTCAAAGGGTTTTATGGAACGAAAATGAAACATAGAAAACTTACCTGGATCTATTCACTCGGTACTTGTCACGTGATCGGAAAGTTTGATCAAAAGCCCATTGAATTAGTTGTGTCTACTCACCAGGTATCATTTGTTTCTCAGAAACTGTTGGTATATTGTATTTGCTATCTTTAAACGGTCTTTGATGACACATTTTCTATCTTTATTTTCTTTTCAGGCTGCTGTGCTTCTGCTCTTCAACACAACAGAGAAACTAAGCTACACTGAGATTCTGACTCAATTGAACCTTAGCCATGAAGGTTGCTTCATTCTTTGTCATGTGCTAAGTACAAGATTCTCATCAAGGAGCCAAGCACAAAGACTGTTTCACAGACTGATGTTTTTGAGTTCAACTCCAAATTCACCGATAGAATGCTCAGAATTAAGGTCTGTGACATATCATCATTACTCAACTCATCGTCGCACTTCATGTGTTAAAAATGTCTGATGTTTACTTTGTTTTTTTGGCATTGCAGATCCCTCTTCCTCCAGTCGACGACGAAAGGAAGAAAGTCGTTGAAGATGTTGATAAAGACAGACGCTATGCGATTGATGCTGCTATTGTCAGGATCATGAAGAGCAGTAAAGTATTGGGACATCAACAACTTGTTTCTGAGTGTGTCGAGCAACTTAGCCGAATGTTCAAGGTCA